TTATATAATATACAGATAGATATATGTACACACATACAAGCTGTGAGACGACTGCAACTGAAGAAGAAGAAGAAGAAGAAGAAGAAGTAGTAGTAGTAAAAAGAAAAAGAATAAAAATAAGAAGAAGAGGAAGAAGAAGAAGAAACGTCGACGCGTCGTTGGCAGTGAACGACCAACGACGACGACAACGACGAACAACGGTTAAAAGACGAATACGAAGACACGACCACAAGATCGTTGGGATAATTGACGCTTATTCTCTTTTCTCATTGGATGTTGTTGTCTATTCCACTTCAAATCTCATCTCGTTCCAAAGAAATAAGAACTATTTTCAAGGGTGAGTCTTACACATCTTCGTTTCATCTTTTTCTATTTCTATTTTACCAATATACTTACATACATGCATGTACACATACACTTATAGATAGGTAATCTTTATATATGTACTTTATTGGAACCTTGGTATCGGCCAACCACGAATGGTCCACTTTGAAAATTCGCTCGATACGACTTTAAGGGACCTTTATCATCTATACACTCAAATATATATATATATATATATACACACATGTATATATACTCTTACATGAATACACGAATATATGTTTCGTATTTCGTTTTGTTTTTGCTAATTAATTATTCATCCTTTTTGAATATGAACTTTTCTTTCTTATTACTTTTGAAAGATTAATTTCTTTTTCTTATTTTTTTCCCCTTTTTTTTCTTCTCTTATTAAAATATTTATTTAATTTCGTGTTATTTAACAAGGTGAAATATATTTGGCTCGTGTTAAGATTATCTGACCGTGATAAAATCATTTTTGTAACCGTGTTGGTTGCATACTTGCTTGCTTGTTAGGGGTTGAACATTTTCCAGATATTATAAGAGGATCTATAAGAGTGAGAAGATGTGTGTGTGTGTGTGTGTGAGAAAGAGTGAGAGAGGAAGAGGATAGATTGTGCGCAATGAACAACGGCGTACACTCTTTGACACACATGTATAGAAAAAAAAAATATATGTGTTGATACGTTCACACTAGATGGACTTTCCGTGAAAATCATTTGGGAGATTCCACCGGTTTCTCTCTTTATTTTTTTATTCTTTTTTTTGTCCTTAAAATATTTGATTTATACTACGTTTATTTTATTTTATTTTTTTTTGATTAGTTTACACCGCGTTTTTAAATTAATTTCTTTTTAAACCGTTAGACTGGAGAATTCAATTAAAAAGATTCATAGATGCACATATGAAGAATATATTTCATATATTATATATAATTTATAATAATTCTCTATATAATTTCTTTTTTTTTTAATTTTTATATATTTATATTAATTAATACACGTTTTTTGCATAGAAAAACTATATGCGTTTCCTTGCTATTAATGTTATGTATGTATATATGTATGTTAAAAGTCTAGTTCATTCGTGGTCTTGAGCTATGCATGACATAAGTGAAACCCGTACTCAAACGCATAATTATAAAATAGATTTTTTTTTTCTTTTTTTTTTTTTTTNATATATATATATATATATGTGTGTATAGAGTAATAGTATAATAGTAAGTATTATATACTTTTCGATGATTGGAAGCCAATGGCCTCGTCCCGTTTAATTTTTACCATTCTTTTAACCCTAAGGCTACCTATCGTGTTTCGCGAATCTGAGGGACAAAAAAAATGTTAATCGAATCACTAGTTTTTTCTCTTCTGAATGAATAAGAGAGAGAGAGATAGAGAGAAATATTTCTAACTCTCACACAGCAGGTAGCCAAGTGCTTCAGGCTAATCGATTTTTCCTTTACGAGGCAAACTTTTGTTCTACGTTTTACTACCGGCATTATTCATTCGGCCAGTGGGTCAAGAAGGTTCCTCCTCTCCTTTTCTACTTACACACACACACACACACAGGCACACACACACACACAGAGACACACACACCCCTAAAAAGTCTTTCCTATAATAATATATACATATATTATATATACGACATTATTTTTTCCGGCATATATAAATTTATTGTTATTTTAATTAATTACTTTTATGGTTTTTATTTAATCTATTTGAAAAGTCACTTTAAAAATAATTGTATGTATATTATATTCGATTTTAATTTAATATGAGAATAATAAACAACGAATCAAATTGATTTTACGTATTCTGATATAATCGGTTAACAAAACAAATTGTATTCAAATTCTAATCGAAAATTATTTAATCTATTTTTGATATATTATTATTATTATTTCATTTCGATTCTTATCAATTTTAGAAACAAAATGATATATCGAAAAACAATTTATAATATTAATTGAATGAATATATTTCGTTTATTCTATTTTTCTGTCTCTTGTTCTTTTTGCATTCCTAAAAAAAAAAAAAAAAAAAAAAAAAATAAAAGTGGCTTGTTGGAGAGACGAAATGGTAAAAGAAAATCAGGCCGTCTCATACATGCATACGTAATGGATAGAAGTATCTCGTGAAACGCGTAATAGAGAACGAATCTCACAGCAATGAAAGAAAGGAGAGAAACCTCTGGGGCGCTTTTCTCTTTTCCTCTTGTTTCTTCTACTTTTAGTTTGCACGACTCCTAGACCATATCGTTTTCTCTCTCTCTCTCTCTCTCTCTCTATTTCTTTCTTTCTTTTTTTCTTTTTCTTTCTCTTTTTGTTCTACATTCTACGAAAACAAAAAATTTTCCTACCCGTTGAGCACATACTACTCATTCGCTTTTATTACACATTTACGTATATGGGATCTATACGTAAATGTATTTAACAAATAATCTATGTACGTGTAACTTGTATAAATGTAAAATTAGAAGAATACATGTATATATATATATATATATATTTGAGATTACGAATAAAATAAATTGGAAAAATAAATCTAAAAATAAATTATGATTTAATTGTTGACGACGACTAGAAAATATAAGAAAAATAAATTATTAATGTTACCAACACACTCTGAATAATCATTATCTTAATAATAACAGTTACATTATTAAAATTACATTGTGCATTATCAATTGCAATTAAAATGAAACAACCGATCATATGATTAATTTATTTTAATTCATTCCTATCATCGATAAACATGTTATTTGTCTTTCAAATATGAATATTTTTAAATTAACTATGTTACGTAGTGATAAGAAATAGTATATAATCAACTAATGATACTTTTGTATCTATAATATATGAACATATGACTCAATAACGAAATAACTGTATAACTTCTACTCTATATTCAAATATATACGCACCTGCGTGTGTATAGTTTATTTTTATTTTATATATATATTATAAAATAAAGAGAGAGGATGAGATATATATATGTGCATAGTACATAAAGCAAATTTGTTTATCATTACGATAATACATAATTTAACTACATACGTGTAAATGCATAACTACTGCATATTTTGTTTTCTGTGAATTAATATACAAAAAAAAAAGAAAATTATATATATATATATAATTTTCTTTTTTTTTTGTATATTAATTCACAGAAAACAAAATATGCAGTAGTTATGCATTTACACGTATGTAGTTAAATTATGTATTATCGTAATGATAAACAAATTTGCTTTATGTACTATGCACATATATATATCTCATCCTCTCTCTTTATTTTATAATATATATATAAAATAAAAATAAACTATACACACGCAGGTGCGTATATATTTGAATATAGAGTAGAAGTTATACAGTTATTTCGTTATTGAGTCATATGTTCATATATTATAGATACAAAAGTATCATTAGTTGATTATATACTATTTCTTATCACTACGTAACATAGTTAATTTAAAAATATTCATATTTGAAAGACAAATAACATGTTTATCGATGATAGGAATGAATTAAAATAAATTAATCATATGATCGGTTGTTTCATTTTAATTGCAATTGATAATGCACAATGTAATTTTAATAATGTAACTGTTATTATTAAGATAATGATTATTCAGAGTGTGTTGGTAACATTAATAATTTATTTTTCTTATATTTTCTAGTCGTCGTCAACAATTAAATCATAATTTATTTTTAGATTTATTTTTCCAATTTATTTTATTCGTAATCTCAAATATATATATATATATATATACATGTATTCTTCTAATTTTACATTTATACAAGTTACACGTACATAGATTATTTGTTAAATACATTTACGTATAGATCCCATATACGTAAATGTGTAATAAAAGCGAATGAGTAGTATGTGCTCAACGGGTAGGAAAATTTTTTGTTTTCGTAGAATGTAGAACAAAAAGAGAAAGAAAAAGAAAAAAAGAAAGAAAGAAATAGAGAGAGAGAGAGAGAGAGAGAGAAAACGATATGGTCTAGGAGTCGTGCAAACTAAAAGTAGAAGAAACAAGAGGAAAAGAGAAAAGCGCCCCAGAGGTTTCTCTCCTTTCTTTCATTGCTGTGAGATTCGTTCTCTATTACGCGTTTCACGAGATACTTCTATCCATTACGTATGCATGTATGAGACGGCCTGATTTTCTTTTACCATTTCGTCTCTCCAACAAGCCACTTTTATTTTTTTTTTTTTTTTTTTTTTTTTTAGGAATGCAAAAAGAACAAGAGACAGAAAAATAGAATAAACGAAATATATTCATTCAATTAATATTATAAATTGTTTTTCGATATATCATTTTGTTTCTAAAATTGATAAGAATCGAAATGAAATAATAATAATAATATATCAAAAATAGATTAAATAATTTTCGATTAGAATTTGAATACAATTTGTTTTGTTAACCGATTATATCAGAATACGTAAAATCAATTTGATTCGTTGTTTATTATTCTCATATTAAATTAAAATCGAATATAATATACATACAATTATTTTTAAAGTGACTTTTCAAATAGATTAAATAAAAACCATAAAAGTAATTAATTAAAATAACAATAAATTTATATATGCCGGAAAAAATAATGTCGTATATATAATATATGTATATATTATTATAGGAAAGACTTTTTAGGGGTGTGTGTGTCTCTGTGTGTGTGTGTGTGCCTGTGTGTGTGTGTGTGTGTAAGTAGAAAAGGAGAGGAGGAACCTTCTTGACCCACTGGCCGAATGAATAATGCCGGTAGTAAAACGTAGAACAAAAGTTTGCCTCGTAAAGGAAAAATCGATTAGCCTGAAGCACTTGGCTACCTGCTGTGTGAGAGTTAGAAATATTTCTCTCTATCTCTCTCTCTCTTATTCATTCAGAAGAGAAAAAACTAGTGATTCGATTAACATTTTTTTTGTCCCTCAGATTCGCGAAACACGATAGGTAGCCTTAGGGTTAAAAGAATGGTAAAAATTAAACGGGACGAGGCCATTGGCTTCCAATCATCGAAAAGTATATAATACTTACTATTATACTATTACTCTATACACACATATATATATATATATATATATATATATATATATATATATATAAATAATTTGAAAAAATAAATTTCCAAAATATCACAATTTATACACATCGTTTCTAGATTAATTACAATTTTTAGAAACAAAGTTATTGAAAGAATTTGACATATTATAAAATATTATAATTTTAATATGCCATTATATAATAATAATAATAAATGAATAAAGTGAGAAATAAAAAAAAACAATTTGATTAATATAATAAATTTAATAAAAATTGATCTCTGTGTGAGAACAAAAGAGCGTTTAACTTAAAACTTTGAAAGAAGAATTGAATCCCCGTATAAATTCAAAGTCTCCTACACTGTTCCACTTTCTACAATCTAATTCTTGAATTTTTTTCTTTCGCTAATAGGAACTTCCCTTTTCATGAAACATATTAGTAGTATTATTTCAAAGGTCGTCATCCCAGATAATGAAAGCGAAACGCCTTCTATACTTACTTACTTATCATCCTTACGATTATATCCTCTAACAAATCAAACTTCATTCATTTTATTTTATGAAACGTATGAAAAGATACATCTTCACGATTATTAATTATATCTTCAATATATTATAAATTAATAATCAATGCTTCCTTCATTTTTCATCGTTTATTTAATTTTTGTAAAATTATATTATATATCTATCTATAAAGTATCGAGTGAAATATAGTTATTAAATAAATAGAATCCTTCGTTGTTTAAACTTGTCAACTTTTTGTGACTATTTTACAATAGATAAATATTTTAACGAGTTTTTTGAATGTTTGCCAATTTTGCAAGGATCCTAAGCAAAATAAAAACGTAATAAAAATGTGCATGTAGTTATACACACACACATATATACGTATGCATGCCACTATGTACATTTATATTTTTTCCAACTCGTATTTTACTCGTTTAGTATCAACCAGTGTGTACGTGTTACGACATATGTAGAAAATAAATAAACTACTTAACATCCGTTTTCGCGTTTAGTATGATTCTTTAATTATATCATAATGTCCCCTATCTTTCCGATTACAGTGATATTTTAATACAATAATTATACTAATTGAAAAAAAACAAATAACATTAGATACTTACGCGTTTTGTTTTGTTTTTTTTTTTTTATTTTAATTGCTGCGATATAATTAGGATTAATTTTTTCCAAAATAAATGTAATCGAATTTTATTCAATTCTATTACGATCAATAGGGATCATACTCTTGGTCTTGTTATAATTAATTATGTATAATTTTATTTAAAACAGAATTGTTTATTATATGCAATATTTAATTATTTGGTGACCAAAACACACAAAATTCGTATCATTTTTAGATTTACGTACCGTTTATCTATAGCGAATAAACGTGTAGTTTTAATACTCATTTTATGTTTTTTTTTTTCACGAATAAATCTTTATCTTTTATTTTTTGTCTTCTTTTTTTCTTTTTTGGATAAATATTTGAACGAAATCATTTACGCGGAATAACGATTTAAAAAAAAAAACAAGAAAAATAACACGTTGTAAGAGTTATAGAATGCGTTCGTAACCAATAAGTGGACTAAAAATAATGTTTTCTTGGCCTTCACGATCATCACATTTTTGGCTCAATCGAGAAATTATAATACTGAATTTTAATGAAGAATTTGTTGCAAAGATTAAAAAAAAAACTCATATTTATTCATGATTTCATTTCATTTTCTATACGACGAATAATAAGACAAATATTATTTTCGATAACCAAAAAAAAGAATTGCATGAATTTTTTAATGAATTTTTCTCTGACCAATTATACGATTACGTGTGTGTCTAATGTAATTATAAACAAATGTATTATCCTAGAACTCGTTAGATTTGTTTGTAGATCTTTAAATATCTCTATTATTTCATTAAACTATTCTCGAAACCATTCTCTAAAATTATCGTGTTTTTTAATAGGATATAATAGGATATAGTAATATAGCGAGGTTAACAATATACATTTATTTGCTTAGTATAAAATTTTCTTTTTCCTTCTATTTCTTTTCGTTTTTCTTTTTTTTTTTTTTTTTTTTTTTAACGGTGACATGCATTTATGCGTTGTAATAAAAAAAAAAAGATGGAAACGAATAGATGATAATGACTTATTTCATAACAGTACATAAATGTTTTCTATATTCATTCAAGAAATTCAAAACATTTAGCTGAATCTAGAGAAAGGATCACCTTTTTTANGATATAATAGGATATAGTAATATAGCGAGGTTAACAATATACATTTATTTGCTTAGTATAAAATTTTCTTTTTCCTTCTATTTCTTTTCGTTTTTATTTTTTTTTTTTTTTTTTTTTTTTTTTTTTTTTTTTTTTTTTTTTTTTTTTTTTTTGGACAATCATCGTAACTTTTTCATTCTCATGACTTATTTCATAACAGTACATAAATGTTTTCTATATTCATTCAAGAAATTCAAAACATTTAGCTGAATCTAGAGAAAGGATCACCTTTTTTAAAAGATATTTAAATGTTTTTTTTTTTTTTCTTTTTTCGATAAAAACTATATTTATTAAAATCTTTTTAAAAGAAAAATAAAATAAAATCATCAAACGCGTTTCTCAATTTTGATTTTTCACCGGTGCAGCAGGAACAGCAGCGTTTATTTATTTATTTCTTTTTTAATACACAACCCTTCTTCATATGTCCAATCGTGACATAGTTCTATTTATTCAAAAATTCAAAACTCTCTCTGGGAAATATAAAAATCGTTTAATTTAAAATAGAAACCCACTATCCCCTATCCCCTCAAAAACAAAAAAAAAACAAAAAAGTAATTAGTTTTCCCGACATTGTGTGTTTCTTTTTGGTTTTTGTTTTATCATTCATTAATTTCGTTTTCTTCTTTGCAAACACGTAAAATGGGTATAAAATTAAACGAATATTATTTTAGAAATCATTAACAAATTTTTTATTAAATGACTCTATTGGCGTTTTACTTAAAAAGAAATTAATTTATTTTGATGAACCATTTGTGACACCTTTATTCATACATATGCATGTACATTACGTTTTTTGCATACACAAACTATAAGTACATGCGTTCGCATGTACAATCAATTTTTATATTAAAATGAAATGTGCGCATTGATTAGGAAATTAATTATAGCTTCTACTAATTATTACATCATATATCTAGAAACATTTATAAAAGCATATTCTTTCTCTCTCTCTCTCTTTCTTTTATTCTGTTTATTCAAGTTGTTTTTATGGGAGACTTGTTTTTTATGAGAGAATCCGAATGACACCGAAAAAGGTCATCCACTACATGTGTTTTCAAACATATGTTGTAAAACATGTAAATCATTCAGGATGTCTATTTTCATATTGCACATATGACACGTGTATTGTTTTTTAAGATTTTAATTATTTATTTTTTAAAAATACATAATTGGTTTTATAATAATTGAATGGTTATATATTAGAGTTGAAGGAAAATTTATATTAATAGATATGTTAACTATTTATTATTAGAAAATCATGCAAGAAACACTTTTCGTTTTTATAATAGTTTTTTAAATTAAAGAGAGAGAGTTTTATTAATGATTTATACTAATTGAATGTAATCTAATACTAATTGAAACAGAATGAAAAATAAAATAATGATCAACAATTTAAAGAATACATTTGCATATAATTACAATATTTTATTATTATCATTATTATCAAGTAACTCGATCTAATTTATTTTAATTTGATAAAAAGACAAAAAAAGTAGAATCAAATGAAAAATGTTCGCAAGGAGGAGGGGGGGGGGAGAGGGTATACCCGCTAATTATCTCGTTGGAAATAAAAATGATCTATTAATTAATATTTTCGTTATATTATTTTTTGTTTACAGATAAATTAAATTCTCGTATAACCGAGCAAGAAGAAGAAGAAGAAGAAAAAGAAAAAGAAGAAAAAAAAGAAAATAGTGAACACAAATAACGCGAACATGCCGATGGAATTTTTAGATCGAATACCCGTACCCAATTTAAGAGTTTACACGAGCCTAAGCTTCGCTGTACTCTCTTGTTCCGTTTATTATGCCGCCCAAGTCGTAAAGGATCCAGCATGGAGAACAAATCATACTAGCATAGTCGAGGGCATCACTGATGTAATAGAAAATGGCACAACAACTTCTCCAAGAAGTATTGGTATGCACTTCAAAGAGTTAATGGCCTTCATGGTTCAGGATCCTGGTTGCATTTGGGTGAGTCCCATATCATTATTAAATCATAAATATTCAAACTTGCAAACAAATTTTAACTATTTTCTTTTCTTTCTTTCTTACATTCTTTTTTCTTTTTAATTTAATTTGTTCCGGTAACGATAATTTATATGAAAATATTCGCTATAAATATGTGAATAATATAAATGCATACACACGTTTTTTTAGTAATATAAATTAAATTATTTTATTTTTTATTTTTCATTTTTCTTTTTTCATTCAAACGTTTATTTTGAAATGTGTATTACGTTGGTTAAGTATGAAGTATCTGCGATTACATAAGTATATACTTGTATTATCAATTCCGAGTGTAATTGCAATACGAATTAAAAAATGTAACAACTTTCTAATAGAGTTCATTTTCGAATATGCATGGATAGTTATTAATAAATCATTGGGAGTCTTTTTTTCTTTTTTTCTTTTCTCTTTCAATTAGGTGTTAAGTTTGTATCTAAGGATTTAACTACATAATGATATATAATAAAGTGTTAAATAGAACTCGTAAGAAAGGGAAAAGAAACTTCCTCGGAATTGATTTCTATTTCTTGAATATTTTCGTATCTATTAGCGATAAATAAATAGAAAAAGAGAGAGAAAAAAGAAAAGTTCACCATACTAAGTGTTTTTAATTATTTATTATCCTGTATTTTCTCTATCTTTATATTTCAATCTTATTTAATTTTTTTTCCTACTCTTTATCTAAATATATTTATATATTCTTCATTATTTTACATTTCTTTAATTACAATTCAGTTTGGTATAGATATTCGAATATAATATCTGGTTTTTTAAGATATTCATTTTAATTAAATCTTATTCGTTTATAATATTTATAAATACGAAAAAAATACTTTAAAAACAAAAATTGTCACAAGTTTAATATTAAAATTTGTTACACGAATGTGAGAAGAGACAGAGAGAGAAAGAAAAAAAAAAAGAAAAATCTCATATACGTTAAATAAAATGAAGAAAATTTTGCACATGTTAATAATTTATTTCTAGATAAAGAATCCAATCTATGAGAATATTATTATTTGTAATATTCGTTATATAAATTAAAAGAGAAAAATATGAAATATATGTAATATAATAAACCCAAAAATGAAATATGGTTAATATGGGGAAATAATATAAATAAGAAAAAAAAAAAGAAAAAAAAGAAAGAAAGGGAGATTGAAATATCTAGGAAAATTGTTCTCCCAGTTTCTCTATTAAATGATATCTTCTTTGGAAAATAATATCACGCTTAATCTCTCGTTCATGATAGTGTGAGAATGTGTAGAGTATAGTGAAGAAGAAGAGAAAGAGGGGAGGTTGAGAAGCGTCGTGCGAAAATCGATGGTCGACCATGACCCGGGAAAATCGATGTTGCGCCGAGTCGTGGCGAGTCGACCCAGACAAGACTTAACCAATGCTATATCTCCTTTATTATATTGCCTATAGATACTTTCGTTCATTGGTTAATCTTATCTCTTTATCATTTTTATATACATTTTCATTTTTTTTTTTCCTTTTTTTTTTTGTTCTGTTCTTTTCTTTTCTTTTGGTCCAATTAAGAAAATTTTTCACGCGGTACTCTCGGTTAGAAATAAAAAGAAAAAGATAAAATATAATAATAATAATATAAAAACGTTTTGTAAAATATTTCCAACAATATTCTAAACACCATTGTATCGCATTGTCAAAGATTAAACGTTACAATATTGTGTGTGTGTGTGGAAAATATATTATTAATTTAATATTATTATATATTTTCTAATTTATACAGAGATACACAAACAAATAATATTTCTTATACCAACTCGTTATGTTAAATAATTTATAAAATCATTTCAAATAATTTGTATAATAGATCCTTTGAAATCAAGGATATAACAGAATGATGAAATAAATTAAAGACATCATAAATTCTATGTAATATTCATCAATAAATCAAGAATTGTATTACGTATAAATATAAATTAGGAGTAACTATGATTATATTCGCGAATAGTAAGGGAAAAAAAAAATAAGTGATTTATCATAGTGTTTGTGTTTAACATAAGACCGACTAGTCGATTCGTTATGCGTCAAGTTGCATCACGCTCTCCATTCGAGAGACTACTATACACATATACATACCTAAACACACATAGAACGGTGTCTCTGCCACGTAATCCGTTTGACGTTCTTGATAAACGTCGATCGTCTAACTAATCTCGGTTGTTAGAGGTTGACGAACGCCGAATACGAACGCGTGCCGAATAAACATTTCTTTTTATGCAACACCAATGATAATGCAACATTTCGATAGATAATATTAAATTTAAATTTGACCACACACAAAAAATATATATATATATATTTATTGACTCGAGATATTTATTTATTCATTTTTTTGTTTATTAATTCAATATTAAATTCTAAACTTTCGCAATAATATTTGATTGAAATTTGTTACTGGATTACGATCATAATAAATCAATAGTTAATATCGTTTTCCTACGTATTATTATTATCTTTTTTTTTTCCGCGCGTGTGTCGAATATTTTTCGCGTTATTTTTTTATCTGCGTCGCGATAAAGATGAGGTTTAGGTTTTTTTTTTTTTTCATATTTTCATTTGTACAGAATTTGATATAGAATGTACATGGTATTAATTTCGTATTACAATTCTTTATTCATTATGATATATAATAATTCAGTACTATACAGTCTAATAAAAAATATGATAAATAAATTGTGATAATAATTATGAAAGTCATTATAAAATCGTAAATCATATAATATATCTTTTCTTACGAGATATTTAAAAAGTGAAATAATTAAATGAAATAAAATCCGTTCCTTATTGTAAATTTTGATTTATTGTTAAATATCACTTACACTTTCAATTATGGTCACGAACGTGTGTGATGTCATTGATATAATCGTTTTATTTGATTATAGTTAAAAATAAAATAAAAATGTGGAATATTACGATTCCTTTATACTGCTACATACATACGTATAAATAAAGTTAGACGTAGAGAAATTCGGTCAGAAAAACGAACCGGTTTGTCGGGTTTACCATGAGAGAGTAGTAAGTCCCTTCTCGCAAAACTTAAAACCCTCGAGGCTTAACGGCAAACGTTTGGTAGGCCTAGGTCAAACTGTGGATAGTATGTTGAGTCATAAATAATAAAGATACTTAGAGAAAGTCTAAATTTATCTAATGAATTTCCTGGTTCTTGTTTTTTCTTCTTCTTCTTTTTTTTTTTTTTTTTTAAGTAATAAATATAGAACAAATTGTGCATGAAATAATGATTAATCGAACGTTACCAATAATATTGTATTTAGTATTATTAATGTTGTTCCCTTTGGTTAATTGTTGAATATTTCAACGATTATATAAGTTCAACAAAAAACAGGACGAAATCCTAATAAAAATGAAAAAGAACAAAAAGAATAAATTCAATAATTTATTTGATAGGTAATATTTCAACGATTTTATTATTTGAAAATCTCTAACGATTTGAATATTTTAAACATAGAAAATATTGTAAATTATAATTTAACATATAATTTTTATTTGGAGAAATTAAAATGAAATAAATAAATGTTAGATTAATTTTTGTCGTATATATATATATCATCGAGACGTGACATATATATTTTCGAAGGTTAACACGTACTATCGATTGTCCCGTTGCACCCTTTTACGCATCGAGCCGCAATATCGCGTGGCGTCTTCGCGAATGAAAATGCACGCGCGCGCGCATTCTTATATTTCTATATATATATATATTCTACATATATACTCACAGTTCCATTTTTCTAAATTTTTTTGCATTTTTAAGATAAATCTTATCACAAGCTATACGTTTAAACATTTTATGACATATTAATTTACCCATTTTTTCTTTTTTATAATAATTACTATTTCAAAAAATATGTATATAATCGAAATAAAAATGTCGATTAAAATAGAAAAGATATTCATATAAATTATATTTCCGAAAATAATATAATATTTGTTCTTGACGATTATTGAAAAAGAATTTTCTGTAAATAAGTTTGAATTAAAATATCCGTGATATATTATATATATGATTGAAATTTGACTAATCATAATAATAGGATGCAATAAACTAAATGAAAGTAACGTTTAAAGAAAATATTTACAAAATTGTATCCAACGTTGTAAGGAGAAGTCGAGTGTTATTTTCTTATTGGAGTAACGATGACGTACATATATATATATATATACGGTATATAAACACGTAATACCAAAGAGATATACAGAAGTATATAGTAGTGTTGCATAGTAAAGTTCTTGCGGAACGGTCGTAGAACGATTGGCAGTGGGCGTAATGCCAACGATACTAACTAAAGTATCTACGTATCTTGCGTATTTAAATTTTAGAACATAGAACTTAACAACAAAAACCACAAATAATGCGATTATGATTAAATGAATATTCAATTATTTATTAATTATACTTCCTATAATTTTAATCGAAATATATAATAAAAATATAATAATAATAAGAAAACTAGTTTGAAACCTGTTTCGTCAATGATTACCCAATAACGATAACAACAAATCAATAATTTCTTATTTCAACTTACTTTATTATGATTTTCGAATGACAAACACGATTCTTTATGCATCATGTAACCTAAGAGGAAACAAAAAAAAATAGAAAATTTATGCATATCATTCTTCTATAACTATATTTAACTACACCTACATAACGTTTGCACGTTTAACATTGAGTTTCTTGTTCCAATCTTTTATTATTAACGCGAAGGAAAAAGTAATCTTCGTAGTTGCAATAAAAATAGTAGCCTTCGAGATAGGAGGAGTAACTACTAGCAATAGTAGTAGTTACTCGTGTAATAATCTATAAGCCTTTGTTTGCGAATGTGTGTGTGTGTGTGCTTGTTCACATTCGTTCGTTCGTATTCAATATGTTCATTTGGATTTTGTGGATTAAATTTTTATTATTTAAAAGACATTTTAAATAGAGTTAACAATTATTTGTTTTTTTTCTAATCAATTGTAAGAAAATATGTAAAGGAAAAGTTATAATAATAAAATAATGATAATTTATCATCGGTTATTATAATCAAGTTCGCGAGTAAGTATTATAGTATGAATGAGATACTTCAGAATGTTTGACAAAGTTAATAATAAACAAAAGATATCGAGAAACTTGAAATGATGTTTCTTGATGTTTGAAGAAGTAATCGTTAAGTATATTGTGGCCTATAAAAGCAGTACCAGAAAACCGCATTGCGTCAGTAACATTACGAAATTCGTTTTAGTTTTAAGTTATTATGTCGAAATGATATTGTTCAATTGTTGAGAAAATCTAAATCATTTTATTCCCATAATATATATATATATCTCAATGCAGGTATTATAACCGCATTGCGTCATTTATAATACTACTTGAATTTCGTTTCGGATTAAAGTTACTATCTTCAAATAATATTTTAAAATTGTATTGTACCATACCACTTACACATACGTGTAGAATCAAAATTATTTTACTGTTATAATATCTTTCGTTGCAAAATATTAAAAACCGCATTGCACCAATTACAATATCGTTTTGATCATAATATTTGTTCTTTTAATTTATCTATGTGATTTTGCGAATATAAAAATATCATTTAGAATTCCTTTCGTATTTTATTATAATGTTTTTCATGCGTGCGAATGCAAACAATTTTTCTTTTCCTTCTTTTTTTTTTTTTTTTAACCTAATCACCTAACACGTTTTGTTTTATTTTTTCTTTTTTTATATAACGTGAATAACTTATTGCGTTTAGAATAAATTTAAATTGTGAGTTTTTTTTTTTTTTTTTTTTTTTCTTCTTTTCCTTATGAAAATGTTAATCTTACGCGAATATACGTATAGAAATAATTTTATACAATTTATGTCTCTACGTTCGTGCGAAGATGTTTCAAAATAAAATATTTCAAAACACGGTAATTGACCGAATATAAATCAAAAGGGGAAAAAAACGAAACACGAAATTTGCCACAATGATCCGCGAATATATTATATTAGTCGGTGTTAATTCGAATAACACTTTTAACATACACATGTATATTTCATGGATCAACCTGTTTTTTTATCCACATTTTTTTTCTTCAGATTGTAATCTTGCAATTAGAAACATTTCGAGAAGACGTTTCAAGGCCGTTCGAGAAGTTTATTTCTTCTCTCTTAATATTACAAATTGTTCTTCAATCGGATGAAATTGACTTCGATTTAAATTACATTTGTCAAGATTTTCTTCTTCCTCTTCTTTTTTATTTTCTTTTATTTGTTTTTTTTTTTTCTCTTTTTTTTTTTTTTWTACTTCTAAGTGTATAAAAGATTCCACTGTACGTAATCTTTCTACTATGTAGTTTCTTTTTTCTTTCTATCTTAATTATCTTTACTTAATCTATTCCGTGTAAATTATCATTGTTCGATGAATTTTTTCGAATTCTTTTGTTCGTTTAAAAAAAAAAAAAAAAAGAAAAAGAAAAGAAAAAATGAGAAGGAAGTTAAAATCGTTCGGTTGAAAAAAAAATATAATCAATAGGATATCAAAATGAAGTTGTACGTTATAATAATCGTCGCGTGCAACAACGCGAGAAAATAATTGAATATAAATGAAGGAAAATAAAAATGAAAAAATAGAAAAATGTTCTTTTTTTGATTTACCATTGGTAGAAACACAAAACGAAAAAAATTACGAATATTTTGTTAAAGGATTAAATTTGTTAACGGGGGAGTAATATGCGTCTGTTAAAAAAGATCAAAATTGTAATTGTATAACAAAAATATTGTTTAATTAAATTTCCGCATATTTCAAATATAACCAGCCACAAAAATAAGAGAAAATAACTAAAGGTATCTAGAATTAGATGTCCTTTCGAATAAAATTCTGTCATTTGGCAACGTATCGTTCGTAGTCGGTTAGTCATTTTGACGCGTTAATGTTTCATGAGCTTTGCCAAGTTAATCGTTAGTATTATTGACCTTCAATCTATCGATTCAAGTATTATTATCACACTAAATCGAGTACTTTTCTTTAAATTTTCATTACAATTTCTACATTACGTACGTACGTACGTATATATATATGCATTTACGTATATATGCATTTACATATGTATACATATACGTGTGTAGTACATATATATCCAATCGATTCGAGAATACTTGTTACAAATTTCGAATAAGAACTCAAGTTTCATGCTTCGTTTTTCTCGTTAATGAACCCTTTAAAAATATCGTTAGATTTTTGTTTTCCTCTTAATTGGCTTAATTATTATTATTGTTAATCGATATCGAATCGTGGGAGATAAATTTTACAAATCATTATTACATTTTCGTACGTTGTTCTTATTAATTATATCATCTATTCGCGTTTATTTAATATAATCAGATTATATTTTATTTGAAAAAAAAAATGATCGAATATTTTTATCCTCAACAATTATATTCCATCGCATTGTATTTTTCTCTATCTATACTTGACATATTATTAGAATTTTATACGCATTATTTTATTAGATTGATAATAATTTGAAGAAGAAATTAGAAACAATTCTCCTCTATATAAAATTATTGGATTTATTTCATTTTATTAATAGAGATGATCTCGTCATAAGTTCTTATTTCAACCCTTTTTTTTTTCTATTACAGACTTTGATAAACATGGCTTACTGCGTACTGATACTTCTTGGAAAATCAGTTCAAAAATTAGTCTTCGGTGAGCTACGGGTTTCCGAGAGGCAACATCTAAAAGACAAATTCTGGAATTTTGTCTTTTACAAATTCATATTCGTTTTTGGCGTACTCAACGTACAATACATGGACGAGGTTGTACTTTGGTGTGCATGGTTTACTGCTCTTGGATTTCTAAGCTTGCTCAGTCAACTTTGCAAGGATCGATTCGAATATGTGAGTATCTCTCGATGGAAATATTTTAATTAATAAAAAATTAATAGATAGAAAAAAGAAAAATATACGATAAACGATCGATCCAATCATTCCTTAACACGAAAAAAATAATATAAATGCAACTAAGATATATTTTAATCGTTAACATGTTGGTTGTTAATCAATAAAGTTGCAACAATTTACTACTGCGTTCTCTCACACACGAGTCCTTGAATGTCTCTTTTTTTTAACGACGAACGCGCCAGTTTTTTTTTTCTTTTTTCTTCCTATTCCTCGTCTATGTGAATGTGTATTAGTATAGGAAAGTACACCATTAAAACTAGGTTTTGCTTGATATAATAATAAACATGCGTGTAAAATTGTGTGAGAGTTAAGTGAGCGTGTTACTCACGTATTACATATACACATAAATACATACGTGTACAAATAATTACACATATGTAAGTATATGTAATCGTATACTCGCGAACATTTTACGGTAAGAGACACAATCGCTTACGTGGATTAGATAACTTAGAAAGTGGAATACTGTATCGTGTTTAGTTTCATTGTTTATCGTACAAGTAGAAAATTTAAATGATGCTTTATTATTATTATTATTATTATTATGTATTATAAGAAATTTGTAATTTTTTTAAATATATGTGTTTCAATATATGATTAATTTATGATATAATTATATACTCAATAAAAATGAGAGGATAGTAACCTTCAAATTAATTGACTGTTCAATTATCTTTTTTATAGAGTATTATATTTAATAACTGTCGTATTTAATTGCGTTACTTATTTGAATAAAATACAAATATCACTATTTTATATTAAACGATTTTATATAAAGTTTCATTACTCTCTCAAAATAAAAAGAAAAAATAAGTTGTATTATTAAAACANATTTTATATAAAGTTTCATTACTCTCTCAAAATAAAAAGAAAAAATAAGTTGTATTATTAAAACATTACTTAATCAATTGATTTTCTCTCGTAATATTTCTATGAAAAACATGATACAATTAAAAAATAATATGAAAAAATAAATCGAATAGTTAAAATATATATTGTTAATCGACAAAAGTGTCTATGAAAACATTTTAATATTATCAAAAAAAAAAAAGAGATTGATCGAATTGAATAAAATAAAATGAAAAAAAAGAAAGAAAGAAAAGATAAGATTGATGAGGATTTATCGAGGGGGGGGGGRGGGGGGGAAGAAATTGTGAACTATTTTTACGAAAAATAATCTATCGTATGTTTGGTTAGATACATCGATCTTCGTGTTTATAATCAATTTTTGTATCTATCTCGATGATGGCAAACGCGAGCGTTCTTTTAAATGCCACCAACTATACTATAGCACTACTGAGGAACGCAGTTTTCCGTTACGCAACCAAGTTAAGATCCGCGTAATCCCGTTAAGTTAATCCAATAGAGATAACGAGGTTATTGGATAGAGACCTGCCAAAGCACAATCGTAACCCATTCATTGCATCTTTTCTTCTTCGAAGGGTTAACAATACGAAATATGAAACTCCCCTCCTTACCCACCCACCCCAAAAAATAAATAAGTAGTACAAATGATCGATTTAATAATAAAACGAATATACGCGTATGGGAAATTATTTGTTAAAGTGTTAAACGTCATCATTGAATTGAGATTATGTAGATTGCAAATATTTTCTTCATATTATAACATTAGTTAGATTAAAAGGTACAACGTGTGGGTGGTGTTCAAGGATGATTAAAAATATTTGAACTTTTACTTTTATGTAAATCAGCAAGAAACCTTTTCGAACCTTGTAACCTTGATGTCATATATTTTTATTTGGTTACAGTTATCCTTTTCTCCTACCACACCAGGATGGAGTCACGCACGACTTCTTGGACTTTTGGCAGCAATTCTAGCACTTTCTGCATTTATGCTCCTATTGTGCACCGCTGCAGTCTTCTTTTTGGTGACCTTCAATACTTTTGCCTTCATGGCAGCAGAGGTGAGTTATAGTTACGTTCCAATTACTTTTCGATTTAATATAAATTGTTTCAATTTCGACAAACATATTATTATAAACACGTTTAAAGGTTTCGTATAAACTTATTCAACAAAATCACTTTAATTTGTCCACGCGCATGTTACGTTGTATTTATTATTATTATTATTATTATCATGTAAAACAAACTTTAAATTATTATCTCGTAATTTAACGCCCACGCACATATATTTCAAATTAAAGCAAACTTCGTTCTATGAAATATTACAAATGAAATTTATGCTTATTTGTTGTGTGTGTTTCATCGCTTAAAACATCATATTTTAAACATTATTAATGTTTATTATTTTGTAATTCTACAAAACACAGAGGCATCAATTTAAAGTTCACATTGAATCAAATTAATAGTGTATTAATATTATTATTATATTATTAAATATAATTTTGTGCAACCGCCGTGCATTTGATAATTGGACAAGCATATATTGTAAAAGATTAAACATATTATAATCTAATACCTTGATGAGATACGATTCATTCGTGTCAAACAAAAAAAGGATACATTTTATCTGGATTATTAATAAACATCAGATGAATGAATATTTCAATAATCTAACGTTGTTGGACGTTACGAAAGATAAAACAAAAGTTAAAACTTACCTTCAACGTTTATTATTTGACGTCTTTGAAATCTAAATTATGATCATAATACCCGTAATACATAATCCAATAATTTCTCTTTAAACCTTCCTCCCTTCTCTCTCTCTCTCTCTCTCTTTCGTTGATTCTCAAAGTATTTAAAAGTCACGAAAGTTTATTACTAAGTTTTCACATCTACTGTAAAACTAAGAAGAAACATTTTGGATTTTCTTTCAGAGAAAAGATAAGAGATGAAAATGGCAAGTAATCTCTTTTCTAAAAAGGGTTACATAATGTCCGGAATGAGTCAAAAGTTTATTCCTGGGTCAAAAGTTTTTCATAGATCACTTTACAAATTTACGAATTTTTTACTATTTTTTTTCTCCCTTAAACTTCTTACACTTTTAATTGGACTTGCAATTTTGCGAGATCAATTTTGTACTTTTATAATTCGAAATGGAACAAAAATTAACCTGAATCTTTCTTTCTTTCTTTTTTTTTTCTCTAAATATGTTACTCTCAATTATTTAAACTGGATAACAATTTTCTACGCGTTTAAAAACTTTTGATTCATTCTGTACACCTTGCGCACGTACGCTTAAATACATATGTACGCGTATGGGTTTGTGAATGTAAAATTAAAGGTATTCATTAAATAAATCAAGGTGAATGCTTTAGATACATTCCTGATACTGATTCCTTTCATTATATATTACTTGGTAAAAAAAATTCGAAGAATATATATCGTAAAAACCATCAACGTAAAACTATCCTTTTCATATTTGATTCCGAGAATTTTCTAAGAAAGTAATTTGAAGAAATCTTCTTTTCCTTATCTACCTTTCTAATCATGTTATCTTAGAAATGATTATGTTTCTTTTCTTCTTTTTTTAATAAATCACCTATTTCCTATTATTCACGTAATACTTCGGAACTTATCGTATATGAAAAACAATCATTGAAACGTTATTAATTATTGCATGCAAATTATGTTTATCATCAACGTAACGAAAGATCATTATGTTTAAATAAAACATTTTATAATTACGATTATATACGTATATCTATATATATATAAATATATAAATATATAAATATATATACAAAAGTCCCGTTACTCTCATTATACCGAAAGATTTTTTTCCCTCTCTCTTTCTTCATACTGCATTCGTCCTTCTGACGTATATTTTTCTTTTCAACGTATTCCCTTTCAAACTCTTGTAACATTTAAATTTCATTATTTCTGATCACAAATATATTGCAAGAGAAAGAAACAACTTATTTATTATTATCCAATATTTTGATTTAAAAATTGATAAAAGATTTAATTCATTTTCCGAATTACTTATTCGAGAATTATTCGATTTTATTATTCACAAATAATATGAAATATTAAAATATATTAAATTAATATGCAATTTTGAAATAACGATCATCCACTCGACTACACATCTTTCCATTTGTCTATATTTCAAATTTTACATATCAAATATTAAAGAATAATAATCGTATTTTTTTTTTCTTTTTTATATTGTACAAAGAATTATTTGTGAATAATTAAATATTTCAAAGAACGATAAGCTGCTTGACTAAAACCTAGGAATTAACATCGAAGGAATGGGTTTTAACGAGCAAGAGAAAGGTCTCGGTCAACAACCCGTACCTAGTTACATTTTTTATTACTTTTTATCCTTGTGCATCTCTCTCTCTCTCTCTCTCTCTCTTTCTTTCTCTCTTTGAAAGATACATATCTCTTCATTTCTATTACTCTTCACTTAGCTTCTAGAAACTTTCCACTTCTGTTTCAATTGCAATGACCGCAATAGTGCAATCCATTTCCAATAGTTCTCGATATTTTCTTCCAATTAAGGATCGATCATTCCAACATGATTATTATACTTTTCGATATCTCGATAAGTTTCTCTCTATGCAATTTCGATTGGTCAACCCTTTCTTCGTAACTTTAAATTACGTCAATGTTTATATAAAATTACTTTTACCAACTTTTTGTCCTTAACATTTTTTCCAAATTTATTCTAATAAATGTAAGATAAAAAGTTTTCGTTGTTATATATATATTGAATATATATATTTCTAATATTATAATTTATTTATTCATTTGTGTGTAAAATCATACGACGAGTAGTATGAAATTGTATTGCAGCCAATGACGCGTATTAGGTTCTAATATTAGAAATATTTCTTATATGTTGGAAACACACGGTGATATTAAATCAAAGAAAATTAAAAGGAAAAAAAATCACTGGCGACGTGTTATCAACATGCAAAAACATATCGTTTGTCGTTAATACAATTGCATAATCAATTAATGATTAGAATACAAACAATAGTAATTAAATCAATGAACAAGTAAATAATTGCTCGAAGAAGTATCGAAAGAATAATAAATCTAATTAAATTAGATTATTCAAACATATGATATTTTGGATAATGTGTAATACTTTGAAATGTACATACTTAAAGTTTCATTACATACTTTGGAGTAGGCACTTATGTACATATACAGATACGTGTTATAGTGTTATTCTGCACTCTAGACGACTACGACGATGATGACGACGACGTAGATTATTCATAAACTCAACGTAACGTTGAATGGACGAAAGTTTATTCAGAAGTTCTTTGCCACGTGTTCTTCGTCGTTCGATATGCTCGCGTATTATCGTTTCTTTTTTCGCTATTGCGTTTGTGTCGTTATTATTTTCCCTTTTTTCTTTTTTCTTTTTTTTTTTTATTCATTTATATCGGCCACGTCAGATAAACGGCTGATAAAATATTACTTTTATCTTTCTTTTCCTTTTAATTTATTTCTCTTCTTCAATAAATATTTATTTTTCGTTTTAATTTGAACAATTGCGACACGTGTAACCGTCAAGAAAGTTATCGAATAGGTTCGATAATTTATCGCGTCTACAACCTTTCTTATAATTTAATATTCCTTTAATAAAAAATAAAAAAAAAGAAAAATACACAAATGTAAATGTGATACGAATATAAATAATATGTTTGTCCAATAATTTGAAATCAAAATGATATTACTACTCCGTTCAATGTTATCAAATAATCTCACATATCAAATTAATATATTATATTCGATAATAGAAAAACAACAAAAATCAAATAATTATTAATAATGATTGTTTTAGTGTATATTATTGGCAGTCCGTACTATTCACGTCATGTTGCGTTATGTGATTCACCTGTATGACACGCGCGGAGCCGGTACGTCTTCTCAACGTTCATGGGATAAACGTGGACCCTTGACCTATTACACGGATTTGACGTCAGAACTGACTGCATTGGCCGTTGATTTCTGTCATCACATTCACATGCTACTTTGGAGTAACATTTTCCTTAGTATGGCATCCCTGGTCATATGTATGCAACTACGTTATCTGTTTTACGAGATTCAACGAAGAATTACTAAACATAGGAACTATCTTGCTGTACTAAGTCACATGGAACAAAAGTATGCACTTGCACACATTTTTATGTTATTTTGTTTCTTTTTATAATATGAATAAATAGAAGAAAATTCGCGTTAGAAATTTGGGACAAATTTTGAATAAATTTGCTCTATACAAAAATTGAATATAAGAAGCAAAGAATTCTTAATAATTTTATTCTATTTATTATTTATAATTTGATCGATATCTCTCGACTGACACTTACTTAAAGCCACCCTTTATACGGATATCTTTATCCCTTTTATTAATACTTCCCTTCTTTCTTTTTTTATCTACTTAACAGAAATCAAATTGAACCCCTGTTAAAATGATAATTCAAACCCGAGATCAAAGTATCTCGTAATATAATTTTATTGAATTCAATTTCAAAATTCATCCAATCAACGAATAAAATAATTGTTAACAAATAAAATATTATTTATTTTAGTTATCCAATGGCAACGCAAGACGAATTGGCAGATAATTCAGACAACTGTGCAATTTGTTGGGAAAAAATGGAATCGGCTCGTAAGTTACCTTGTGGACATTTGTTCCACAATTCTTGTCTGCAGTCATGGTTGGAACAGGACACTTCCTGTCCTACGTGTAGGTTGGCACTTAGTATGCAAGCCAACCATAGGGAGAGTTCACCTGAATTACCGTTAGAACCACAAACGCCAACAAGAAGGAACGATAATCATTTCTTCCATTTCGACGGATCCCGATATGTTTCTTGGCTACCAAGTTTTTCTGTTGAAGTATCGCACAATCGTGTACGCGGTAATATTTTCACCTCGACTCATAGTAATTCTCAAATGGATGCAATGGCTAGACAGGTGAGTGGTAATGCGAAAAATTCATTCTAAACATTATAGAATTAAACTGTACAACAATTTGGAAAAATGTGTTTATCAAAATTTACACCAAGAGAGTCTATGAAATTATTCAAATTTTCTAATTAATTGTAAAAAATCACGAACGTTAAATCTCTAAGCGAATCATGATTTTAATTAAAGATGACAATGGGTTTATCTTCATATCTGTGTTTACATTTTCATTAAGATAGCAGCATCAATATTACATGATCGATAAATCCTAATGAAAATTGTATTTGCAGGTACAACAGCTCTTTCCACACTATCCGCACAATATGATATTAGAAGATCTGAGAATTACACGATCTGTCGAATGGACCATCGAAAACATACTAGACGGTGTGTTGACTTTACCTCATCACTTAATCGAGGAACCGCAAGCAGAATTCGTCTCGCAAACGCAAACACAAACGTCCACAGCACACATCGTTCCCACACCTACTATCCAAAACACTTCAGATCCAAGGCTTGACATTCCTATTGCTGATAGGTAATTGTCTTTATGAATTTTCAATTGAATAATACTTTATATTATTTCTATTATCAATTGATAAGTAATATATTATACACACAGATGAACCCGAAATGTATTTAAACGATGCTTTAATTATTCATAATGTAAAAAACAATTTGTTTTTACAGATATTTAAACTTCTAATCCGAATTACAAAATCTAATAATAAATCTTTAAAATGTTCTCACAGGAACAGGAATAACAAATGGAAAAATCTAAAATACGTTTAACTGATCTAATGAACTAATACGATTCCATCCATCCATCTTATTACATTCATATTTTACTAACAAGAATAAATTTTATTTTTTAGCGGAGAAGAACCATCCAATCTCGGCGGACGTTTTTCAAAATCATCGATCGAAAGGGAATTAATTCTTCAACGTCGAAAGGAACATATGCGGATGACGGCACGCAGAAAGTATCTCGAGAAATATCGAAAAGATTCATTGTCGATATCACCGTTTGCATCACCGTCGTCGTCGTCATCGTCATCGCCGTCATCGCCGTCATCGTCGTCGTCGTCGTCGTCATCGACAAATGAAGAAGAAACACCAATTGTAACAACAACTTTAACAACGACAACGACGACGACAACAACGACGACGAGTTTGCAAGATAATGGATATGTTGTTGATGAAACTATGTCTTAGAAAACGGGCAAATTCATTTAACGGATTTATCTTTTGGAGAAGCAGATCAAAGAGATTCGTGAGAGATTTATACTTGACAGGAGTTAAACTCTCCGTAAAAAAGATAATATATAAAGCAGATAATTAGCTTTGTCTCTCCGATTGATGAGAGAGAAAGAAAGATGAGAAAGAGAAAGAGAAAGAGAGAAGTGGGACACACATACGAAATGTAATGAAATGAAATGAAATGAAATGAAATGAAATGAAATGAAATGAGAAACGAAACGAAACGAAACGTGTGTGTATGTCATAGGATTCTTAAACGCACGATCGATTGGGAAATTTCTAAATTGGATTGATATTAAATAGAAGTGATATAATATAATAATATTTTAACAATTTATTACGAGATAATTATGGGATTTCTTATATTTATAATAATGCCGTTTATTTCTTTTCTACCATTGTTTCATTGTCGGCCAACTTTTTATTTATTTATTAATTATTTTTTTTTTCTCTTTGGATAAATTATTATTATTGGTTTTTTTTTCTTTCTTTTTTTTTTCAAATGGCAGTACGAGAGGGCAAATATGTTAAAAAGACGAAAGTACCTTGCCAATGACTGACGACAATGACGAATGAATATGTAAATGTCGAGAGATAAGATAAAATAAGAAAATCCTACGAACCGGTTTAACTACGATGGTTTGATCTAATCCGATAGTGAGATTAGAATGATGTTTTCCCTGATTATATAAGATTAATTAATCATTGGAGATCGCGGCGTGATTCATTGATTTGTTTCGGCGATTTTATCCAACTAATACTTTACGTGTACATTAAGCATCGATGATACTTTTAATTTTTCTCTTATTAGTTAAAGAATATTATGTTTTTCTTTTCTTTTCTTTTTTTTTCTTTTTTTTTTTTTTTTTTTTTTTTTTTTTTTTTGTGTGATGTTAACGATTGATGATTTTATTTTTCTTTTTCTTCTTGTTCTTCTCTTTTTCTCCTTTCAC